GGTTCTCGCGCTTGGCATTGGTTCTTTCTGGGGTCATCAAAGTGCTCTCTCCCCTCTTTAAATGATGTGTCATGTCATTTTTTCGCTTATGTGACATGCATTGCACCTGTCCACGGTGGAGCACTGGGAAGGGCCTCAGCCACCGCCACCTCTCCCCTCTGCCTCGTTTTCCGCGCCCGACCACATCGCCTCTGCCACTTGGCGCCGCCTGTGCGGCCAGCGCCCCCGCAGCCGCCGCCCTCCACCAACAGGAGGCCGCCACGCGTCCTTCCTGCCTCCCGCGCCGTTGAGGCCCGCCCGGCCCATGTTCGGCCCGCGCCGAGACGAAGCGGGCCCAAATCCCGCGCCGCCTGGATCTCCCTGCGAGCCCCGCGCCCCCACTCCAGGCCGCCGGCGCCTCCCCGAGCGCTCCTCCTCGCCCGCGCCTGCATCGCCGACCCACACCGCGCGGCGACCCAGCCGCCGGTGAGCTTCGCCGCCGACCCTAGGCAGAGCCCCCGTCGCCTTCTCCTTCTCCTCTCTCTCTCTCTCTCTCGCAGGCCTCACCATCTCTCTCTCCCTCTGCCTGCAGAGACGCCATGGCTTGGATCTGTGATGTCGTCGCCGAAGTCCGTCGTCAGCCGCCCGATCCGGCCTCCCCGTGTCGGATCCGGGAAGCTCACGCCGCCCCGCGTCCATTCTGGCCGGATCCCGTTCCTCCTCGACCCCGCTGCACCTCCGCGCCGCCGGAGTCGGCCGCCGTTGCTCCCTGTACGCGAGGAGGATGAGACGCGCCCGATCTACCCCAGTTACTCGTCAACGCCTGCACGTGGGCCGCGCCCCTCCCAAGGCCCAGTCGCCTGTGCCCTGCTGCAGCCTTAGCCCACCAGATCACCGACCCAAGGCCCGCGAGGTGAGCACAAGCCATCCCATCCCTGTTTGCTTATGTGACGCTCTGGGCGCTGAATATTATCATGCGCTCACCCAGTTTCGGCCCGTGTATGTTTTTTTCCAGCACCTGGGAATTTGTTAATTAATCCAGTAAAACAGATTTGCAGAAAAGTCCCTCTAGATCATGCATTTAACAACTCACAAACGGTGCATCATATTAAAACAAATTATATATGAAATATGCTTAGAATTTTGTCTAGTTTCATAATATCCAACTTTCATCTATGTTTAAAATGTTTAAAATGTTGTTTGGTTAAATTTGCTCCTATGCCATGTTAAAATGCTTTAATTCATAACTAAATAACCATAGCTCCAAACCTAACAAACTTTAGACGTAAATGGGGTAGAAAAATGCCTAGTTTAACATGGTGGTTTTACTTTGCATGTTTAACAACTCTAAAATTGTGTTTAGGGCAGAACAATACCAAATCTAAAATATGCACATGAGGGTTTTCCGGACTTGTTTGCTTGTTGTTCCGGCCTCATTTAAACTTGACTAGATAGTTAGTTTACTTATGCCTCATCTCTTGTCATGCTAACCAACATTTAATTTTGTTGAGTACATAAACAAGATCAAACTAAATAATCAAATGTGGTGTTTCGGCAATATGCAACTCGTTGCATATTGAGCTCCACTTAATTTGTAGGATTGCTTGTGCACTTTGCCATGCCATGCTTCATTAATCCGGACATGCATCATACTTGGTTGTGCATCATGCCATGTTCATGTGATGGTTGTTTACTATGTTGTTTGCTTCTTTCCGGTGTTGCTTCTTTGGGTTAGTTTCGATAACGTCGCGTTTGTGAGGATCCGTTCGACTACGTCCGTTTGGCTTCATCATGGACTCGTTCTTCTTCCTTGCGAAATTTTAGGCAAGATGACCATACCCTCGAAATCACTTCTATCTTTGCTTTGCTAGTTGCTCGCTCTATTGCTATGCTGTGATACCTACCAGTTACTATATCATGCCTCCCATATTGCCATGTCAAGCCTCTAACCCACCTTCCCTAGCAAACCGTTGTTTGGCTATGTTACCGCTTTGCTCAGCCCCTCTTATAGCGTTGCTAGTTGCAGGTGAAGATGAAGTTTGTTCCATGTTGAAACATGGTTATGTTGGGACATCACAATATCTCTTATTTAACTAATGCATCTATATACTTGGTAAAGGGTGGAAGGCTCGGCCTTATGCCTGGTATTTTGTTCCACTCTTACCGCCCTAGTTTCCGTCATACCGGTGTTATGTTCCTTGATTTTGTGTCTTACACGGTTGCGTGTTATGGGGACCCCTTGACAGTTCGCTTTGAATAAAACTCCTCCAGCAAGGCCCAATCTTGGTTTTACCATTTGCCTCACCACCACCTACTTTTCCCTTGGGAGTCGCTCCCGAGGGTCATCGTTATTTTAACCCCACCCCCCGGGCCAGTGCTTCTCTAAATATTGGTCCAACCTGAGCGATGTCCGGTGCCCCCTGGGCAACCAGGGTCTATGCCAACCCGACGTATTGCTCATCCGGTGTGCCCTGAGAACGAGATATGTGCAGCTCCTATCGGGATTTGTCGGCACATTCGGGCGGCTTTGCTAGTCTTGTTTTACCATTATCGAAATGTCTTGTAACCGGGATTCCGAGTCTGATCGGGTTTTCCTGGGAGAAGGAATATCCTTCGTTGACCGTGAGAGCTTGTGATGAGCTAAGTTGGGAAACCACTGCAGGGTTTTGAACTTTCGAAAGTCGTGCCCGCGGTTATGGGTAGATGGGAATTTGTTAATATCCGGTTGTAGAAAACTTGAAACTAAACTTAATTAAAATACATCAACCGCGTGTGCAGCCGTGATGGTCTCTTTTCGGCGGAGCCCGGGAAGTGAACACGGTTCTTGTGTTATGCTTGATCGTAAGTAGTTTCAGGATCACTTCTTGACCACTTCTAGTTCACGACCGTTGCATTGCTTCTCTTCTCGCTCTTATTTGCGTATGTTAGCCACCATATATGCTTAGTGCTTGCTGCAGCTCCACCTCACTACCCCTTTCTTACCCATAAGTTTAAATAGTCTTGATCGCGAGGGTGTGAGATTGCTGAGTCCTCGTGACTCACAGATACTTCCAAACAGTTGCAGTTGCCGATGATACCAGTGCAGGTGACACAATCTAGCTCAAGTGGGAGCTCGATGAAGATCGTGTTCGTTGTGTTCTTTCGTTTCCAGTTGATCAGTAGTGGAGTCCAGTCGGGGCGAACGGGGATCTAGCATTAGGGGTGGTCTTCTTTTATTTTGGTTCCATAGTCGGACCTTGATTGTATTCTGGATGATGTAATGCTATATTTATGTATTGTGTGAAGTGGCGATTGTAAGTCAACTCTTTATCCCTCTCTTATTCAGTACATGGGATGTGTAAAGATTACCCCTCTTGCGACATGCCTATTATGCGGTTATGCCTCTAAGTCGTGCGCCGACACGTGGGAGATATAGTCGCATCGTGGGTGTTACATTGCACTAGAGGGAAGAAAGAGCGAACCACCTGAAATTTTCGTGCCAATATTCTTTGCGTGCGACGCGAGGGTTTTGTCTAGGACGGACGCGAGGGAATTTTTTGTCCCCTCGCCTTCGGCTGCCATCTTGGCGCTAAGAGGTGAGGGGACCTCGCATCTTCAAGAGTTCTACTTTGTTATCGTCTAATGGTCATCATTTTTTGGGAATAAATTTACACGTTCTTTTGACGGTGCCATGAGATTGGAGAGTTTTCCGTCCTCGCAGATTCAATTATTCGGATCTGATGAATTTATGTTGGTGTCTTAGACTTTTTTATTGGTTTGATTATTTGTGGAGTTGAAATCTTTAATTGACATCGTGGTGAAGATATTGTGATCCGACGGCCTGCACTTCTAGGGGATCATTCCCGGCCCAAGTATGTTCATGGATCAAGACTTTCCATCTTTTTGGATGGGCGACTCAAGCCGCTTTCAAAAACCACTATTGATAATGTTCGTGCGTATGAAAGAGTGACAACATCGTTGCTCAGTCCAATTGCATCCTCTTTATCGAAGTCTTCCGAGTATTTTTTCTAACAGAGATTGTTAGGCAAATAAGGTGTTTTAAAGATATTTCATTGTAATTCTTAATCGTAGGAGTTACTTTATTTTTTTAGATTTTAGATCCAAATCACTATACCTGTAATTTTATTTATACTCATAACAATTACGGGTGTTTTTTGAAAAACAAACCTCAAACGTTCGTCGGAGGGTGCCTTCACGAGCGAACGAATCGTTCGTTCGAGGGCAGCCCCTAGCTGACGTCCCACTGATATTAGGTCCATGTTATTTAAAGTTCATCAAAAGAAATACAGTTTTGCAACCATAATCGAATTATCAGCTCTGGGGACAGATGAAACTTAACGGACCCTGCATCTAAACCGGATGGATTCAACTCTTTAGGTCTTCCTTGAGGGTAACTCAATGTTTCTTGAACTAATCATTACTTGACGATGGGCGCCGTCGATGTTGTGGAGTAGGTGTAGTGCAGGATCAGCCGTACGATTTGAGGAACATACTACGAGACGCGAACATGAACATCCCAAGGTATCCATCAAGTCAAGCAAATATCCTCCCAAGGTGAAAACGTCAAGCATACACATCTGAAAATCGCAAAACGCCGCCTATTTCTTCTGAAAGTGTCAAAAATCGTCTCTAGATGTCTGTCATTGACACTGTATGAAGCAAAGATCGAGAAGAACCAATGTTAAAATATAAACTAACGACCATACAAGGAGAAACAATACGTGTCTGCGCGTATATAAAATCTTGGGATTAGTCCATAAGCCATGGTGCGGCTGCACATGTGCACGCTACCCGCATCATTCATTCGTGGTGACCTTGCCCACTCTCCCAAGCTACGGATCAATCAAAGGGAAGGCTATATAAACACACAGGATCATCACAAGATCATAACACATCTAGCCAGAAGCAAATCCCCATTGGAGAACACGATCAAACAGATAAGCAAAGAACACACAGCTCCCAGATCGGCTCCGTGCAGATAAGTTTGAAGCGGCATCCTGCATCCATCGATAGAAATCGACATGGCGCCGGCTCCCATTCGAGCTATTGCGGTGGTGCTGCTCACGTTCGTCTGCTGTGGGTGTGCCATGGCCGCGGACAAAGCACCCATCAAATGGTTGAGGGCGCACGCGACGTTCTACGGCGGCGCCGATGCATCTGACACCATGGGTGGAGCGTGCGGGTATGGTAACCTGTACTCGGCGGGGTACGGTACGCGGACGGCGGCGCTGAGCACGGTGCTGTTCAACGACGGTGCGGCGTGTGGGCAGTGCTACAAGATCGCGTGCGACCGCAAGCTCGCAGATCCCATGTGGTGCAAACCAGGCGTCTCGGTGACGGTGACGGCCACGAACTTCTGCCCACCTAACAACGCGCTCCCGAGCGACAATGGCGGCTGGTGTAACCCACCGAGGCCACACTTTGACATGGCGCAACCGGCATGGGAGAAGATCGGCGTTTACAAGGGCGGCATCATCCCCGTCATGTACAAGAGATACGCACGCATAAGTTTTCTTAAAAAATTGTAATTATCCTCAAAAGTTAAAATTGCTTAAAGTTGGTAGAAAATTGATTTTTCTGTAGGGTCCCGTGCGTGAAGAAGGGTGGGGTGCGGTTCAAGATCGATGGTCATGATTATTTCAACCTAGTTACTGCGATGAACGTCGCAGCTGCCGGCTCAATCAAATCCATGGATGTCAAGAGCTCTGATTCAAACGATTGGATGCCAATGTCCCGTAACTGGGGTGCCAACTGGCACTCTCTAGCAAATCTTACCGAAAAATTGCTCTCGTTCAGGTTGACCGACACAGATGGGCAGACAGTTGAGTTCAACAATATTGTGCCTGCTGGATGGAAGTTTGGGCAAACATTTGCAAGCAAACAACAGTTCAAGTGATCATTCTCCGGTGATCAATTTAGAATATGATTGGTTCATAAATGTACCATCATACGTACATTGTAGCAATATTGTTGAATTTAATTATTTGTGTCATGGTGTTTAATTACATTAATTTTATGCAGTTCTTGTATATACGCTACATCAATTCATTGATAAAGGCATGTAACATGCTTGTATGTGATTAACTTGTTCTATGTTTTTATGTTTACATAAAGTTGGATGGTGTACATAAAGTATGGCTGATTCTACCGAGTTTCATCTAATGTATATTTTTTTATACTTGTGGAAACCAACATTTACAAAAATGTAAGTCAAATGGTCGTGTGCATAATATTGATACAGAGGCTGGGGTGACCCTCCTTTCCAAAGAAACAATATAAGGCTATATATAGCAGGGTCAGTTAGTCTTTAGACATTTAACACAAGAATGTACACATACTAATCAAGGGAAGACAACGGAATGTGATCGGAGGATTTTTCTCGAAAAGCAGGACAACCCACGGGCTTTGCATCGAGCGATGCACACAGTTGTCTTTATTGCATTATTCAACAAGGCCTTACAAAATAAATACACAAGTTGATGAAAAATCAGTTTGTGTTTGCTAATGTCTTTGAGTTCGAGTTCTCACGTTTTTTTAAGTTCAATACATGTAGTATGTTGTCCACAGAAAGCACAATACACCGGAAACATACTGTTAGGAAATCCCAAAGAAAGCAAATCATCTGGTGGATACAAGAAACTCATTTTTCACTAGTAGTACATGACCGTTAGATCACCATAAATATGTCACACATATCTCATCCATCAGATCACCATACTTGTGTTTAAAAAAAATCACAATCACTGATTCTAAATAAATAAATTATGTATATGCTATCTGTGGTACCTCCCTCCAATCTTTGTGCAAGGTCTCTTACCAGACCTTTGGGCTCTGATATTTGTCCTTGGGTGTCCAAGGTGGTCAAATGCGACTATGCCTTCATGACCAACGAAAAGCAGGAAAAAAGAAACACGTATAGTCTTTCGTTAAAAGTTAATAGACAAAGTTATACATAAAAAATGGCAACCAATTTTTCATTGTTTTACTCCAAACTTTGTGGTGGTGATGCTTTAAGTGTACATGGGAGATAAAAATCAACTACAAGACCTACAAGGCAACACAAAATCAAAATAAAATATTAGTGCTTCATCAAGTTTTATAAGTAATGTCAACATATCACAAGGAAATGATTCATCAAGTTTATCTCAAGTTAGTTCGAAAAGTTGCTACAAAGGAAATGATTGGTGACCCCCTAAAATTTCCATGAATGTTGGCCAAGTCAAGGACTTTTTCTATTTTAGCGATCCAATCACATTGAGTTCATAGGCATGCTGATATTTTAGAAAGGAGAGAATGAGGTTGCTAAGCTAAGTTTCCCTCTCCATGTCCTCAGAGATCAACCAGAAGGCCCTCAAAAGTCTTTCATTTCTCCATTATATCTACCTACTTTCACTCCTTCAGATCCTCTGAGCTCTTCCACTTCAGATCTTCCGAACGATTATCCAGATATAGCCATTAAAAAACCCGCTGCTCAGAGCTCTTGAGTGAGACCAATCCAAACCGTTGAAGCACTCTTCTCCCATCTTTGTCCACTTTTCAGAACTTCCAAACAGCTTCGCTCAGGATTTCTGAACGATCCAGATACGTGCGAAGGTGTACGGTTGGTTAGTCGGAGCCTCTATACAACCTTGTTTGGACCTTTTGAGCAGTTCGAAACTTTCTACCTTTATCATTGTTTGGTGATTTCAAGTTGATCACTCTAAGGTTCGGAGTAGTGCTAAAAAGTGTATCACATACAGATTGTTGGTCCTGCCTATTCATCCCCCACCTATCCCATCAATTCACTAGAAACAAACTTCACTCTCATCATATTTTCTGAGAGATAAAACCAGCTTCTTGTGTCAAGTTCAAAGGGTTTTGTACTTCAGCCATCAAGCCCAAGTCTTTAATCTCTAAAATTCCCTCTTTTCTTTCCTCTCCTACGTCTACAATCCAAATATATATTCGGAGGGAGTTTTGTTTTGAGAGTAGAGGATATTATCAGTTGAAGCACACGTGCAAGGATTCATCAACAACAAAATCAATCTTGTTATATTTGAAGGATGTGCGGCTCCTATATCGTCTAGGTGTGCTTGGAAGCCTTCAAGGCGTGAAGGAACCAAGAAGTTTTTGGGGAACGTAGTATTTCAAAAAAATTCCTACGATCACGCAAGATCTATCTAGGAGAAGCATAGCAACGAGCGGGGGAGAGTGTGTCTACGTACCCACGTAGACCGAAAGCGGAAGCGTTTAGTAACGCGGTTGATGTAGTCGAACGTCTTCGAGATCCAACCGATCAAGTACCGAACGCACGGCACCTCCGTGATCTGCACACGTTCAGCTCGATGACATCCCTCAAACTCTTGATCCAGTTGAGGCCGAGGGAGAGTTTCATCAGCACGACGGCGTGGTGATGGTGACGATGAAGTTACCGACGCAGGGCTTCGCCTAAGCACTACGACAATATGACCGAGGTGGAAAACTGTGGAGGGGGGCACCGCACATGGCTAAAGATCAACTTGTGTCTATGGGGTGCCCTCCTCCCCCGTATATAAAGGAGGGGAGGAAGAGGAGGGCCGGCCACAAGGGGCGTGCCCAAGGGGGGGATCCTACTGCTAGTAGGAGTAGGTTCCCCCCTTTCCTAGTAGGACAAGAAGGAAGGAGAGGAAGAAGAGAAGGAAAGGGGGGCTGGCCCCCTAGCCCTAGTCCAATTCGGTTTGGGCAAGGGGGGCGCGCGCCACGCCTTGGCCTGCCTCCTCTCGTTCACCATTAGGCCCATG